CCCAAATGATACAACAGCATTGCCACAGTAGCTGCACACTTGGCTCTGAGCATCCTGGTGGCCAAAGCAAAAAGGGAAACACGATTAACTCCAAAGTGTACATTCTCTCTTTTTTAAGGAGCCGCCACACCCAGCACAAAGCCCAACATGGGGCTTAAACTCACAACCCTGAGATCAAGACCTGAGCTGAGATCAAGAGTCGGATGCTTAACTGACTGAGCCCCCCAGGTGCCCCTAAAGTGTGCTTTCTCCTTAAGATACTAACAGGCAGCGGTCGTGGAGAGCACAGCATACTGGGATCCCGAAGCCCCAGAGAACAGTATTCCCAAGACCCTGAGGAAGAGACACAGCACATCTCAGGCAGCAGGGACACTTGGTGAAGAAGGGCCCTGTTAGAACAGAGACTCCTACTTGGGAGATCCGGAGCGGGGTCTAGGAATCTGTCTCCACCAAGCTCCCCAGAGATCCAGATACGCAGTCAGTGGTGGGCACTGGTGTGACCAGACGACCAGTTACCCGCTCACACTTCCTGCCGTGTACCCACGGGCACGTGACGGCACTGGTCTGAGCCAGCACTCATCTGAACACCAGACGGCGGACAGCGGCTTCCCCAGAGAGGCCCTGTGAGGCTTCGAGGGGAGACTACCAAGCAGCACTCCAGGAAGCTGGATAGAAGACTCCACATACATGCCCCAGCGGCCATCATGAGACGGTCCTGCAGGAGGCCCGGGGGCCTGAGCCGAATGGCTCGGGAGGAGCTGGGTTCCCACCCTGCAGGGCAGCAGGGGGAGTGGTGGAGCAACGTTTCTTCAACTGGCGAATATTTACCGACGCCTGCTGCTCTGAGGACAGCCCCCCATGCCCCGCAACGAAGCTTCAGCCCCGTCCAAAGGAAGCACTTCTTTTCCCACAATTAAAAGTCTTTTTTTTTTTCTGGTTAGCCCACAGAAAGAAAGGTTTCTCTATTTTTGAAATTTTGTGCCCACAGAACGGGGACCCTGCAAAGGACCGTCACCACTCTTGAGGCTTCAGTGGAAAGTCCCAAAGCTGGTGCTCAAGGCCAGACAAGCCCGGGATGAAGCCTGCGCCGGTCTCCATCCCCATCCCTCAAGGCGTCCGGCCTCTTCTCTCCAGTTCTGCAGATTTCAAGGTGGCCACGGCGGGTGTGGGTCGCTGTACACAACAGTAGGTTTTTTTTGTTTTTTTTTTGTTTTTTTTTTTTGTTTTTTTTTTCCTGGGAGCCTGGGTTTCCATGGAGGCTGAGTGGTGGCAGACGATCTGGATGTGGCTTTGTACAAAATGTACAAAGGCACAAGCTCAAGGATCGTTTAACTCCCGTGTTCACACGCTCAGTACCAACTCCTGAAGGACATGACTGGGCCTTCATCAGCTTCTCAGGACGCGGCCCCCGAGTGCAGAGGCCCCACGGGACAGCTAACGGAAAGTTCGTGTGTCCCTCAGGCTCCCTGTCTCCAGGTGGATCATACAGCAGCCGCAAATAAGAACACACGAGAACGATGCTGGTGCTGCCGCGTGGCCCGCAGGCTGCTCTGGCTTCCAGGAGAGCGCGGGGCGGGTGAGGGGGTGCTCACGCCGTCCTCCTGTGCAGGTGACCATGAAACAAGGGGGCCCCCAGCCAGGCACCTGCCAGCAGCAGCTCCGTTCCCCCCGAGTGCCTCCTGCCAGGAACACACTTTATGCGCTGTCCCGTCTCCATCTTACAACCAGGAGGGAGGTTCAGAGCCGACAGCGTTTGACTGAATTCCCACCGCCGTGACCGTGAGGCTGGGCTCAAGGGGCCTGTTCTGGGCATCACGAGCCCCTCCCGCCCCGCTCCACAGCGGGGGACACACTCTGCATCATCTCTGCCCCCCATCCGGACAGGGATGGGAAGGACTCTGTGCCCAGGGGCCACCTGTGTTGGCTGGGGGCCCAGACGCACCCTGATGGAAGCCAGAGGACTATGAGAATTGCAAAGCCCTGAGATGAACGAGCCCGAGCTGTCCCGGAACACTTCCCCGGGGGGCTGGGCATGGGCTCCAGGGGACACACCTGGAACCTGGGCCCCCTGTGCGAGTCACTGAACCCCTCTTCCAGGCTTAATGTTCTCATCTGTAAAATGAAGATAAGACCCCTGTTTCACCCGGCTCCTGCAAGGATGGAATGAAATGAGGGAAAGCAGGCAGGACTTAACGGCCTGGGGTCCACCCGGAGAAACGCACACACCCGGGCATCCTTCCCCCTTGAAAGCCACGCCCCTGACACAGTGGGCGGGTCCCTGACTTTGGGCGTGATTTCCAGAACACCCCTGCCATGTGGTGCGTGGGGCTGTGGGTCCCTAACCACGCTGCCTGCCCTCGCACACACATGTGCACATGGTCCTGAGGGGCGCCACACTCCCGCATCGGGGGAGGCCTCCGACGTCCCCGAGTCCCCAGACCCTGCGCGCGGAGCCGGGGACGGTGCCCGCCTCACCCCCAACAGCCCTGGGAGCGCTCCAGAGATAAAATCTTCAAGGTCTGAAAATTAAAGAAAATAAAACAAAATAGAAACTCCCAATACACTGGAGGGGGACGGGCAGATGGCGTGTTGCCATGGCAACCAGGGCTGAATTATTCAGCACGTACTCGTGCAGACCCCAGAAAGAGGCAAAACAAGACAAAGGGATCCAATTAACTGTTTTTGCCGGGAAGGAAGCAGCAGACCCTCTGGGGACCTGACTTCTCAACTGCTCCTCTGAGGAGCCCCAGAACTGGACCCGCTTTTCCGTTTTCACACCTGGCGAAGGATGCCCAAGGGGCTGCTGGGTTCTCGTCCAAGGTCGAACATCAGTTACAGCCTCAGCAAGTAATGGGGGAGGTCCAGTCCAGGGCTTGTGCTCAGGGAACCTCTGCAGGCCCTCGGGTGTGGCTCCTGGCCCCCACCCCCGCTTCCTCTCTGTACATGGTGGGGATCCCTGGACTTCTCTCACACCAGGGGTCCTCATGATAACTTTGTCCTGGGTTTGAACCACATATACATCACTATTTACTATTTTCCTTTGTTTTTAAATAAAGATTTTTATTTATTTGAGAGAGAGAACAAGCACAAGCAGCCAGGAGGGGTCGAGGGAAAGGGAGAAGCAGACTCCCTGCTGAGCAGGCAGCTGGACATGGGGCTGGATCCCAGGACCCTGAGATCATGACCTGAGCCAAAGGCAGATGCTTAGCCCACTGAGCCCCCCAGGCACCCCACTACTTTTCTCTTTAAATCAATTCACTTAATACTCTATTTTGAAAGAGAAACTTGGTTTGTGTATCAAATAGAAAACCATTATGAGATGGCAGAGCTAGAAGTCAGCTCAAAATACTTCAGTGAGGGAATAAACGTTTTACCTCTGGATAGGGAAGGATTTTTTAAACATGACACAAACGGCATGAACCCACAACGTACATTAGAGGTCAGCAAACTACATCCTGTGTCCTGCGTTTGTAAATAAAGTTTTATTGGCATGCAGATAGGCCCACACACGCCACACGGGGGGCATTAGTACTGCGAGGGTAGGGTTGTGCTGCTGCAACACTGTCGGGTCCACGAAGCCTGGAAGAGTTCCTCTCTGGCCCTTTGCAGAGAGACCTGTGGATGCCCGGAGGATACGACTGGAAACCCGACAACCTTCCTGCACCCAGGAAAGTGGAAACAAAATGAAACATGAGCCCCTAGACTGAGAAAGGAATGGAAGCCGCAATTTCCCAAGTAAACTCCTAAAATTATTAAGATGGAAAAGGCAGCAGGTTAAGTACATGAAAAGAAACCAAACAGCTGATTAACACTGAGAAAACATTCCTTCTCACTAGAAATAAGACAAAACCAAGCCTGCAAGCACACATCCCAACAAGACCAGCGGCAATGCTCGCCAAGCTGGACCAAACAGCATATGCTCTTGGCCATGGTGACAGGCTCAAGGACGAGCACGTGATCCGGACTTGTCCAGTTTAGTCCCTTCTATCCTCTGGGTCAAAGGGATTGGTTTCGGAAAGGAGCCTGGAGCTTCGGGGATTAGGGGATTTGGCGTCAAGTAAAAGAGCCAGAGAATGAAGCCACACAGAGCACAACAGAGTCAGGAAACAGAAACAGACCAACTCCTGTCAATGCCATCCAAGCACCTGGATCCAGCCATGCCTGCAGCACACACAGGTGCTATAAGCCCCACAGGGCAGAGAGTGCCTCTGTGTTGTTCGCTATGACACCCTAGCATCCTGCCCAGTGTCTGGCACATCGTATTATTCAGCAAGTAGCTGCTGAGCGTGTGACTGTAAATAGGGCTTGTGCCCCGGTGGAGAGAAAGGAGCAGTTTGCGAGGAAACGGAGGCAGAGAGAGGCTCAAGACCGCTGTTCCACCATGACCCCAGCGTGAGGGCAGGAGGCCCCATTCAGGGCACACCCGCTCTCCCTGGCTTCTCACGTGAGCCTCGCCCCCGGTGAGGAGACAGGGAATGTCCTCTATCTCGAGAACAGCAGGAAAGGAGAACATGGGGCTCCTGCTCCAGCAGCAACACCGACAGGAGAACGAAGGCCGGTCCCTCGGGCCCTGGATGCCAGCAAGGCACATCCCCCCGACTCTGTCACTGTCTCTCCCCAGTGCAACTGCCTTTTCACTCCTGCAGGTGCCTGGCCTGGCCACTAGAGACCAGAGCTTCTCCCCTAGGGGCAGAGGATGTGCTCCCTGTGGCCTGGGGACATTTGAAAACACGTGGGGACAGTTCTGATGGTCACAGGAGGGTGTCACATGTAGAGACCCAGCCTGCCACTCAGCACCCAAAGGCACATGGGACAGCTCCCCAGGACAACGCACTGACCCATGTCGAGTGCAGAAAGTGGCAAGGAGAGAAGCCACCATCAGAGCCCCGTGTGGGCGCCCTGAGACAGCGCGGCCCTGGGAGGGCAGGGCCAGGCCTCCGAGTGGCGCGGGCTGCCCGGTGGGACGCAGCCTCTACCCGAGGCGACGTGCCCCTACTCACTTGGAGAGTTTCATCTCGATCTGCTGCCGGATTTCCTGCCGCTCTTCATCAGTCCTCCTGGGGAAAATGTTCCTGTCTTCCAGTTCCTGCTGGCTCGGCCGGTTCCGCAGCTTTACCGCCAAGAGCTCCTTCTTGCATTTCCTTGGCAGTGTTCCTGAGCACCACCAGAGACGGGGAGAGAAGGGACGAGAAGACCACTGTTAGTCAAGCGCTGGCTGGTTGAGCTAGCCACCCACCCTGCTGGGAGAAGGCATCGGCATCCGTACAACTGGGGCACATCTGTCAGCGTGGGGTGCCTTCCAGCGGGAATGTGGGCAAGTCGGAGACACGGTGATGTCACCACCGTGGGCCACGTGTTCCACGGGTGGGCAAGCAGTCACACATCCCAGGCCTCCAGGGACGGTCCTGGTCTACACCTGGTACCCTGAGTGATTATTAATGGCTCCCAGCTTTCTTCTGAGTGTGGACCGTGACTTACAGTTACTTTTCACATGGCACCCCGCCCCCGTCCTCTCCCCCTCTCCCACATGGTCCACACTCCCTGCTGACCACTGCCCTCTGGCCACGCGGGTCTTCAGTCTCTAGAACGTCCCACCTCTGGGCCTCTGCAGCAGGTCTGTCCTCCACCTGTGCCCTGTTCCCCTCGACCATTCGTGGCCAGCCCTGTCCCCACAGCCAGCCTTGAACCTTCCTGCAGAGGCCCGACGAGGCTCCAACCACCAGCCCACCACAGCATTAATGCCCCAGAATCCAATCTCTTCCCTGTTGGCTACTTTATTCTGTCTCCCGCACAAGACTAAGTTCAAGGGTGGTCTTCCCTCCCCGGGCCCTAGATCCGTGCTGATGCAGCAAATTCCCAATGAAGACTGTGGAGTGAGGGCATGGGGGGCTGACACAGGGTCTCCAGGCTGAGGCTGACCTTTATTTCCACAGATGTCTAGGATCAGCTGAGTGAAATCGGGGAGCAAAGTAAGATCTCAGAGGACAGAGTGTCTAAATTAAAAGAGGTGGGGTCTGGTGGCATTCACAGATGGGAAGGACCGCTCATTAGTGGGCTAGGAGATGGACGTGTTCCGGCTCGTTGAGAACCCCCACCTGCCCTGGCGAGTAACTGGGAAGTACAAGGTGACTGGTTTTGCATCTCTACTGGGACACGGGTTTCAATCCTGGGGCTCAAACCATCATCCAACGTCACACTCCCACGGGTGGAGGCAAATGTTATCCGCCCCCCAAAAAAGGCTCCCAAAGACAGCCAGCGTCCAGTGTCCAAGATGGGAACAGAAAGCAAGAAATGAGTCTAATAACGTGACCATTTAATGGAAGTTTGGGATAAAGTAAGACACAAAAATTGGGGCTCCACTGAGGTTTGAATTTCTAATGTGAGCTTGTTTGCCATGTGTTTCATAGAGACAGAGAAAACTAATGACTGCACATGCCATTTCAGCAAGGGCTCTGGCCTGAATTTGTTTGAGTAGCTTTATAGGATCTCAGAGAGCCTGAAGGAGGCACACGGCTTTGGTTAGCCTTTACTATGTGTTCTGGGGGAAATCGAGCGCCGTGGTGGCCTTCATGAGTTAAGGGAGTCTCGAAGGTCTTGGGGACGATCCTTGAGAATGTCAAGGGTCTGGTACATGGCGAGAAGGGGCTGAGGTTTTCGGAGATCCAGGACGCGCTCAACCGTGAAACGGCCCTGGGTGCAGTTTAATCCTTTCAGCGCTTGATAGCAAAAGTCTTTTAAGCACATTGCAAATGTCTTGGGTTTCTTATTATAAACTTTAATCATATTTGTTCTTCACTGAAAAAAAGATCCCCTCATCAGAGACTTACAGATGTAAATGAGAATTCGATCTGCGCCGGGAGCGAGCAGTTCCCCCAGCCTCCCAGGCACAGCCCGTGCGCACAGCAGGGTCACCCCAAAAATTGATGGGCTCACTTGAGGTCTTCTCCAGAGTGTCAGCAGGTTACTAGGTTTTGTTTCTTAAAAGTCAAAAAAGGAAATTTCCAGATAAACATGAAACTTTTCATAAATTTGACCGGCATGTGCACCTGACGGCCAGCCCTGCCGTGACTGAGCACGCGTCCCAGGCGCACATGCCAACCCGGGTGGGTGGGGAGGCTGGAAAGCAGCGGCCGCGAGACCCTTCTGTGCAGCTTCCCTCCCCAGGTGCCCCCGGACACACCGCGCTCTGACCCAGAAGTCCCACCCCTGGAGTCTGCTCCCCAAAGCACGTGGGACGAGCACAGAAGAACACATGGAAATGTCTTCATGAGGCACCACTGATGAAAGTAAGAATCCCACACAACGGACAAATCCAGCACACCCCGTCGGAGCACAGCGCCTCGCAGCACTGGGCCGTGGGAACCGTGGCGAACGGCGGCGTGTGGCTTACTGCGTGCTAGAAAGACGCTCGCGGGATGCTTGTGGCGTTTTGTGACAGCAGCTTGTCCTAGAGTACGTACGTCGTCTGAGAAAACGTATTTGCGTATGCGTAAGTGTCTGCTTTTGCAAGCATGTATGACACTGTTCATTGGCAGAGAAACGTCGGGAACTGACCATCTTATGTACTCATTTTGCTCTTCCGTGCTGTGTTTTTATCACAAACGTAGTTCCCTTCTGTGAAAATAGAAAACTATTTAAAAAGAAAGAACAACGTTGAACGACATCAACGAAGATGGTCGAAAATTCTAAGTAAAAAGCAACAACACAACTGGCAAAAATGTTCAGCATCCACTTTTTGAAACTCTGCAAATGGAAACAGGGCACATCCATCCAAGGACACGAGGCTGAGCCTCTGGAAGGAAGTTTTTCTCTGTCCAGCACCAGACTCCCTGCCCTCTAGGCCTGGGTAGACGTGAACTCCGCGAGTCTGCATTCCCGATGCAGACCAGCCGTCAGCCGCCGGGCAGACCCTGGGGGGCGCAGGCAGGCCTGGTTCCCGGGGACCTGCCATCGTCCCACCCGTCTGCGGGCTCCCCAGGCGTCCCCATGTGCAAGGCCCACAGCGCCGGAACTGACCAGAGCTCACCCAGCCCACAGTGCCCTTCCCTGGTGCCTTTGTTGACAACTGTGTTGTCTTTCCAAGGCCAAGACTCTCCTGGGCCTTCAGACCAGTCCTGCTCAAGATGATGGAGTTCTGTATCGGCAAAAGCCAATTAAAAAAAAAAAAATCAATGTATAGGCCCCAAAATTAAGTAAATTAAAAGCTCGAGCCTGATATTACCGCATCCAGTTCAACTCCAGCAAACGCTGGGGGCGCCTTTCCGACACGGCACTGATGGGCAGGGCACGGCGGGTAGGATGGGGTGATGCTGCCGCCTCCCCCAGGTACGGGAGCGGCCCGAGGGCCACAGAGTAGCGGAACCTGGGCTCCAGCTCAGCCAGCGGGGGCAGCCTTGCACGCGTCCCCCTCACGGGCGCTCACGGATGCTCTCTGATGCCCCAGCACGTGGGGAGTCCCTGTCCCTGTCCCGGCAGCTCCCGTCACCAGCGCAGCAGAGCAAGAGACGCTGCTGGAGAACTTCAGGTCATCAGCCCCTCCCTTCTTTTGTGAAAGGCTCCCTACCGCCTCCCCACAGACCTCCACGCCAGTCTGCTGTCCTCGTCTCGATGGCCACACCACAGTCTCCTTCCCTGGTTCCTTGTCATCTCCCCACCTCTGTGCCCCGGGACTCAATCCTCAAACCCCTCTGTCCACACCTGCTTCCCACATGGCCACCTCTGTCCCCTGAGACCCTCCAGACCCCTGCTAATGGCTCGGGATTTCCCCAGGCAGCCCCAGCTTTTCTCCCACACCGCAGACTTGTTTACCCACTTCCTTCAGGATGTCCCCCTCCCCACCCAGGTCCCTACCAGTCCCTACCCGGCCTCTCAAATGTAGCCTGTCCACGCGGAGCACCTGCTCTCCCGCTGAAGCGCAGACAGGCTGAGCGACACTCAACGGATCTGCTCGGGGCAGCCAGGCTCCTGCTACGCTGTGTCCCCCACGCCCCCCGCCCCCCACCAAGGTGAGGGCCTCACTGCCGAGCCTGGTCCCGTGAGGGCGGGGAAGGCGCCAACAAGCACCTGTCATAGCCGGGAACACGGGACGCGTGCCTTCCCCAGGCGCAGGCTCACGGCACCTCCGAACCACCCGTCTGCCCGGCTCTTTCCCTTACTGCGGTCACTGTGTGAGCTGGAGACATTCTCGCTCACGGAGAAGAACACACCTGCCGGGCTCATCCACGCAGAGAGCTGCTCCTTGTTCAGTGTTTCCCGCACAACCTCAGCGCCTGCTGACTTACACGTTACACGGCGCCAGGCAGAATAAGCCTCGGAGGAAAGGGGGCATGAGGGAGACATCAGGAAAGGCTTCCTGGAGGAGGCGGCATCTGAGCGGGGACCTGAAAGCTGCCCCCCACCACACCCCGGGACCTGTGGTCCCAGAAGCTAGCTTTACTCCGTAGAAGGAATGTGCAGGGTGATGTGCCCCTGCCCCCGAAGTAATGATGTGCACTTCGGGTCTGGCCACGACGGATGACGGAGACGGGTTCTCCCACCCAAAACGAACACAAAGTCAAGCGAAAGGAAACAACGGTGAAGATGCTAGAAAGACAGTGATCCTGGCAGGGCAGGAACTAGGTGGAGCGAGCCCAACGAAACCTCGCTCCCGGCCCCCGAGGCTCTGGGCTGAGGCCCCGGGGGGAGCCTGGAACACGGCCTGAGCTGAGAAGGTGAAAGGGGGACCATGGCCCCCCGAGTCTACAGGGTGGCCCTGGGGGGCAGGGGGTCGTACAGAGGCAGAACCGAAGGCCTGGATTGTGCCCGAGGCTGGGTTTAAACCCGGGAAGAATCCCACTCAGCGCAAACTGTCTGAGCGCCTCCTCGAGGGCGGGACACGGGGAGCGAAGGACCAGGCCCGCTGCTGCCCACAGAACGCGCCTCGCCAGTGCCAAGACCTCAGTAGCCCAGAAGCGCGGGGGACGATGCGGTGCCACCAGGCCAATCCCGGGAAGGCAGAAAGGGCACAGGAACGCAGACGCGGTCAGTCCCTCGCCGAGAACCCCGTCGGGGACAAAGGACAACTTCGTCAGGAGATGGCACGAGGCCGAGTCTCTGTGAACGTGGCGAGAGGATCAAACGCACAAAGCTGACCCGACAGAGGAGAAAGGGCAAGT